TATATATATATATATATATCGTCACAAACAGAACTGCCCGGTAAATCGTAGGCAGAGAGAGAGAAGAAGACAACAAACGAGGGGCTGTGACAAACTGTTTCGTCGGAGTTTCACCGACTCATCAGGAGGCTGATATATCGTCACAAACAGAACTGTCCGGTAAACCGTAGGCAGAGAGAGAGAAGAGGACAACAAACGAGGGGCTGATATATATATATCGTCAAACAGAAATGCTCAGAAAACCATCATTAGAGAGGGAGAAGAGGACAACAATTGAGGGCAGTGGTTGGTGCCCACCTCAGGGTATCAGTTGTCGGGCAGTCGTTGATGCTTAACCACAACCGGGGTTAAGGTGAATTATCACTAACAGTGTAATCAGTTAGGGGATTCTGCAGACTGTTGAGGGTTCAGCCTCCTGATGCGTTGGTGAAACTCCGACGAAACAGTTTGTCAAAGCCCCTTGTTTGTTGTCCTCTTTCCCCTCTCTGCCTACGGTTTACCGGGCAGCTCTGTTTCTATTCTGGGGAACGTCAGTCCGTTTCTATTCCCCCGACAAATCAGAAAGGATTACAATAAGTACCCAGCCACGCTCCTCCCCCTTCTGGCGGGAAGGCCCAAAGGATGGCATTGATTACTTCCTGAAGGAAGGATGGGATTCCGGAAAAATATTACTACAGTGGTAGGCAGAAATTCCGCTCGCTACAGCGGTACTCCATGGAGACCGGGTTTCAGGTGTGAGCGAGGAAGAGGGAGCATTCAAATTCCAAAGTGGATTAACACTTCAGCTTTGTGAGTGGCGAATGGCCCAGTGGTTAGGGCACTGGTTGGAAATGCACATTGTGGTCTGAGGTTGTGGGCTCAAAATCCCACAGCCTCGTGCATATGCCGCCGGCAGGGCATTAGACTGACGCACTACCACTCACACACTAGGCGTGCGCGGGCCGGGGGCACGGATGTGCAGGATCTACATAGACCTGACCTGGGATCCACCTGAAAGGGTGCCCAGCAAACACTAGCCCCTGCGCAGTCCTGGGTCCTCCGGAACGGCAGCACGTGCCTCCCCTCGGTGTTGCTGAGGCCATGGGTGGTGACGGCTCCAGGAGGGGCAGGCTCAGTGGGGATCAGTACAGGAGGAGTGAAGGGTCCGCCCCCTTCCTAGCAGGAGTGACTCTCATCCCCACAGCACCTGGTGACTGTGGTGCATTTGCCTCCCGGCCGGGTGCCTCGGGGATGCAGGACCCTGAGTCATAAGGGGGTGAACCCTGCCGCAGCAGTCTGGTAGCTTCGGTCCAGACTGACACTCCCGGTGTGAGTAGCAAGGCCTCTATTCTCCCTTCGTGCTGAGAGCCCCGATCTTGAGTGATTCTGAGTAAGTGGGTGGGCCCGCTGTGCCGACAGACGGGCTGAACCCGGCCCGTGAAGCCCCCTGCCGGACTTCCCCCCAAGGCAATATCCCCGACACCTCACAACCCTTTAAAAACACAAAAACAAAAAAGACAAAAAAAAACACACTTGAGCTTCTTTATAGTAAGTTTATACTGAGATTTTGACAGACAGCACGTGCAGGTTTCAGGGTTTGGATTGGAATTCTGCAATTTGATGAGTAGTTGATAACAGACCTACAGATCATATCGGTTTTTTCTTGTCCAGTCATTCGCCATGAGCTGAGGGAATCATTCACAGCTCATATGAATCTGTCAATAGATTCAGTAATCTTCCAATGTAAGCAAAGGCGGAACAGGAGAAGCGACTTACCTAACTACCAGATCACTTCACTCAGGAAGGCCGGAGATCTGTCCAAACATGTAGGAGTGGATAGCAGAGAAGAGAAGAGGTAGAGGAAGAGTAAATTCAGAGGGAGATCACGCATTGAGCTGGTAATACTACTGTAATAGTCACGGTGTACTTTGTTAGGCTCCCAGCTTGGATTTGCAATTGTGGTTCTCTGAGAGTCATTCCATCCTGAAAACCCAGATCAAAGGGGCTGGATGGAGGAAATAACAAACAGTTCCCAAATCCATTCAAGCATGGAACTACAAGAGAGAGATAGACGCGCACGCACACACACACACACACACACACACACACACACACACACACACACACACACACACACACACACACACACACACACACACACACAC